TTTTGCTGTTCGTGTCTTGCCGTATTTGTTGAAAAACTCTTGCTTCTCAACAGCTTCTTTTAAATATTTTTGTTTTTTAAAACTAACATTTTCTTAATAGTGTGCTATTCAAATTTTATACTTCTGGACAAATAAGATGATAAATTTCTGGAGGCAGACTGATAACTTAAATTGAAAAGGCACTGTAAACGTATAGTATAAGGCACTTTACTTTAAAACCCTTTTTTTTTTTTTTTTTTTTTTAATAGCATCCCATATCCAAGCAGGGCTTTAGGGCAGGAGCATAAGGTGCCTATTTTGTTCATCTGGAGAAGATTTTGCTCTGAAGAAGAGTTTACAAAGGCTTAACAAATACTGGTTAAAGACAGTAAAATCTCTCCCCCACAAAATCTACCTTACTTCTGATAGTTGTTTAGTATCACTTCATAGGTTTGCAATCAAAAAAGGAGGCTTTTGGATATATGGACCTTGTTGGTGTCGTCCTTTGTAGGTCAAAGATTTGTGACATGAGCATGAATTTCTGTCTTTTGACTTTGCTGAATAAGGAGGTGGCAGCATTAGACCCCATTTGAAAGGGGTCTGATATAGATGCAATGAAAATCTGCCTTGGAGACCCTGGTAACAGCTCAGCAAGGTTTAGAAAAGTACTATATTTCTTATAAGTACCTTTTGGTAACATTTTCTCAACTGTTGTACTGTCAGGAGCACCTCCTAGACTTCTCCACAACATTGTCATGGCTTAAAACCTTTTTCTCTGACTGCAGCAGTGAACGGACCATTTGTTATGGGCTTGTTCTCCACTGATGGAGGTCCACCAATTTATGTAACTAACTTTTTTGGCTATTTGTTAAAGTTAAGAAAGGGAGCTGAGAATACGGATGAGTGTTTAAAGATCTAGGCAGCCAAATAGCAAACACTTTTTTTTTTCTTCTTCAGATTTTGTGAAGTGAGGGCCTTGAATTTGAATTAACAAGAGCAGCCTCCCAGAACTGACCAGACCTGGGATGAGGGCAGAGACCAGCTGAGGTTAACTGAGTCATTTAGTTTGCTGCTAAGGTTGCTTTATAAACTTTTTGAATAGAGGCTTAGTGGTAGGCTATGTGATCTTTTTTCTTTCTTGGTCAGTGTGATGAATTTCTTTACGGCATTTATTGGTGGACTTTTGCTCTTTAAAGATGGACTAAATATTAAAGTGTAGCAAAATATACTCTTAAAGCTATTACAGAAATTACAGCAAGGTTATTTACACAAGGTATTAAATGAAATAAGTTCTATATGATAATAACAAACCCAGGATGATAGGAAACGCGTCTCTCCTTTTACATGGGAAAGCTTGGGGCAGGAAAATACCGAATCACCAAAGTTCTGCAGCCTGCAGGGCTTGGGAATAGAGTTCCTATCTCTTGTCTTGTCCACTGAATTGTTATTGGCACTATCAGCTAAAAGCCTACTGTTGGTACTTAATGCAATGAAATACAGCTTTGCTTTCATATTAAAAGTGTGTTCTGTTGTCCCTACTGGAAGTGTTTTATGAAACAAACTTTACAATTCACTTTGAGTAGTGCTGTGGCTGTTCTCGAGCAGGGAAGTTAGAGAGATGGTACACGCGTGGGGAATCTGGCTTCTCCGCCAAGGGGAGAACACCCATTGTTGTTCTGCTGCGCTCCTGCTAGACCGAAGAGAGGAGCAGCAGCGGTGGCGCTCATCAGTGTGCCCTTCCCTTGCCCTTTCAAAGGTAGGGTAGCTCACAGACTTTACCTACCATGGGGGAAAGGAGAACCTGTGATGCCTGACTTGGTTACATGTGTGGATGGCAGGTTGCCTGTGTGTGCTTTTACAACACAAAGGAACCGAGTGTCGCCGTGTTACTGACTGTCACTGTCTGGGTCTGTATTCATTCACCAGTTCCCAGTAGGAAAGCCTTACCAAATAAATTTGGGTTATCTTGTACTTAAATAGTCTCTCAACAGTTCACTTAACTAACACATAATTGAAATCTGATTTGAAATAGTAGTTTGTCTGATGTTTAATTTTGGAAATGTGCAAACTCCCAGTAAATTACCTGAAATAGAGAAGTGCTATGTTGCAAAATTGGAAGACTTCAGAGCAGCACTTAAAAATGCATTCAGTGTGGGATATTTAGCTATTTGTATGTTACTAATGCCGATGGAAATAGGTAATGTGTTAGGGTTTTTTGCTAAGGATTTTACAAATAGTTTCAGTAGTAAGAATGTGAGCATAAATGCTTGTTGTAAATTATAAATGTCGCGACTGCTTTTTAATCCCGTATTTGTAGTAAATTTAACTAGTGCTGCACAAAGTCACTGTTAAGTGTTTTGCATATTATTGTATAGAGCAGCATTGGTATTTTAGATTTTTTTCATCTTTAATTCATTGTTGTATTAATTTCAAAGTTATCTTGTAAACAGAAATCAAAATTATAGTAAACATTATGTCTTAATCTACAAAAAAGGCATCTTCTGAGGATTGCACTTTTGGTTTGAATATGTAGGTAAATATGTCTGCATCCTTACTGCAATATTTTAGCTTGTTATTTTGCTTTGTTTTGTTCTTGCTTATTTTCGGTATTGAATATAGATTTGTCTAGGTTTGTGTTTTTGTTAAATAGCCCTCCGGCTGCTTTTATGGTGAATATGTAAGGGAAAGACCTTATCAATGCCAACACTTTTAAGCCTGGCATTTGCAGAAATTTGGAGAGGTGATGGTAACCTATTGGATCCTCTTTCTTTGTCTGTTCCTCCCTCCCAGAAATCTTATCTCAGTAGCTCACTGAGGCTCCCGGTGGTGGTCATTAGTTTGAAGTTCCCATGGAAAACTATTTTTTTTTTTTTTAAATCGATTTTGGGAGAAGGTATATGGGCAGTTGCTGGTTCTAATAGAAAAGTTGTTTATTTGTGCTAGGAAAAAAAAAAACAAACTAACCAAAAAAACCAAAAAACCCCAAAACACCCTACAAATATTATTCACTCAAAACTTAGCTTTATTTTCCGGTGTGGCTGCTTAAGTCTTCCTTTTTGCCTAAAAACTGTGAGCTAAATCTGTATTTTGAGGGGGGCAAAAATCATTCCTAAATGAAACAGGGTACCCTTGCTTGCTTGTGCTTAAAACGAGAAGCATGTGGGGTGGTGTGTGCTGTGATGGCGTGGGCTGGGTCAGAGAGGTGGCCAGGCCCTGAAGTGACTTGAGTCTTGGGAGTTTGTAGAGTGAAAATAGTGGGGTTGTCTCGGTGGTCTTTTCCTCACTCTTGTGATGCCTACTCTTCCTTTAATAATTGAAGAGCTATAATGGAAGATTATGAATAAAATATCAAACGAGATAGTATACACACAAGGAATATTTTGAGTTAGTTTATGGTATACTCGTAAACCTAAACCATGGCCAGTCAGATTTAATTGCTTCATATTTTTCATACATACTTAAATATTTTATTTGGTTTATATCTTTTTTTAAATTGAATATTTTGACTTGACCAATTTCAAAATGGTTTTCTTCCTAAAGGAGTTAATGAATGAGAAACTTGGAACAAAATTAAAGTTAGAAGTTGAATTGGATTTCAGGAAAATAGCTGCAGTGTTGAGTTGTATTTAGTCACAAGCTGAACAAAAGAAGTCTTTCTCAAGGCTCTGTGCGAGGCTGATGCTTGTACAGAAACGCAGTGTCTGGAATCTGAGCGCCGGGCTCTCTCCTGAAGACTGTGCCGACAGTTAAAGGGCGCTTAATTGTTTATTTGAATTTCTGAAACTCTTCAGATCCATGTGCCTGTTTCCTGAACATACTGTGATCTCCGAATGTGACAAGCAGATGCCTCCGATGGTTGAGCAAACAGTACTTATGAAAGACTTCTTTCTCGTGAAATGGCAGATACATGCTGCAGGCAGTGGTGCTTGTGTCCTCCTATTTGTAAGTCTTCTCAACAGAAATAGTCACTGGGAGGCCGTGTCAGCGAGACGGGATGGAAACCAAGGCGTGGGGCAGTCCTAGGAAATAGGAGCAATAAATAAAAACAGAAAGAAGGAACACCCTGCGAGTGTGTTTTCAAATACTTTATATAAATGCTGGTGCCGATTCCATGGTATCTGTTTGCAGGGTTGTGGCCCTTGCTGTTTGGATCGCATGTGTGTGTCTGCCGTGTGAGGGGGCTGCAGCTGTGCAGCCTCTCCCCCTCCTTCCTTCCCTTGGATCGCGGCTGTGTCTGACACTGAAGCACTATCACTTAAAAAAAAAATAAAATAAATCAGTATTTATAACTCTGCATATTCTAAACAAAGAGAGAATGAAGTGGTGAGATAACATATGTAAAACACTTAGTATCTTGAACATGAATTGCTTGTCCTGTGAATCACATACTGTGATGAGGGCAGATATTTATTTATTTATATTTATTAAACTTAAGGGCAAATATTTAGAATAGCTGTATCTTTATTTTAACTCAAGACTGGCTGAAAAGAGCAAGTGAAAGTTTTTCACAAAATGAGAGAAGTATTAACCTGCGTAACAAAAGTGTACTGTTTATTAAGATGTACCAGGCCTGTAAGTACAGCAGTGTCATAACAATTTAAGCATGAAGGTCTTAGTATATTTTTGCCTTTCAATGCTGTGATCTTCTATGCAGGTGAACTTGAAATAAAGACCTGGTAAGATATTTAATTGCAAAAGGACTCTTGTGTTAAATCATGTTTGCAATCATGAACAAATTCTGTCATTTGATCAGCTTCTCATTTTCTCAAAATTATCTGCACTAGTAGGAGTAACTCAAATGTATTCCTGTGAAGCAATCTCTGTCTGTATATTCTCCAGTCTACTACATTCAAAAAGCTTTTGTAGCTTCTACTTGTCCCTTTTGACCCATGAATATGTAGGAACAGTAGTATTTCTCTTTGAGTATTAAAGTTTCGTTGTTAACCTGGTCCCTTTTTTTTATTTCTGTGTGTTAGTGTTGTTTGTCATTCAAATTAAGATGTCTCTTCTGTATTTTTCAGGTTTAAGCCATTTTTTCCATTTCAAGTGTTGCCACCTGATGAATATGAAGATCGAGACCTCTGTATACAGGATTTTCTATTGACAGAAGGTCGTCTAAAAGTCACGTTGATTGAATGTACAAGGTATGTTTTGTGGTCTTTTGCTCATTTTTCACTAAGCAAGTACATGTGTTTCTTAAGTTTGTAGTAATTACAGCTGGAGGCATGTTTTGATTCAAGAAGTTGCAGCTTTGGTGTTGTGATTGAGGATTGAGCTCTAATCAAGAAATAAATTTTTTTAAGTAAAAATGAACATATGAAGATTGCTATAAGTTTCTGAGGCACTTCTGCATTGTGTGTGGGTGCATGCATTTGCCTTTCATTTGAATTTTGCCTGGTTACAAGCTAATCTCTGCCTCCTGAGGCTTTTCTGTTTTTTTGGTTTTTTTTGTTTGACATGCCAAGTTATGAATCACTTTCCAGGACAGTATAAATGTTGTAATTATCCTATTGTGTTATGTTGTAAGCAAAGGGAAATGATTGTTTCACTTGGTTTTACTTAGATTAATCTGAATAACTTTTATAAGCCATTATTTAGTGTCTTTGTCTTGAACAAAATAATTGAAAGAAATAAACTCTACTTACTTCATTCATTGGAAAGAAAATAATTCTCTTTAAAGCTGAAGAAAAGGTGTGTGGGCCCTTGGTTTGTTTGGATTTTTTTTGTCAGAAAACTAAACCTCTTAGTTTTTGGTTTATGTTAGATCTTATCCTTGTAGTGCTTAGGCTTTGATCTAGTCATGTGCCATTCTGCTCTTTATGAACTAAACTCTGGTTTGCAGCAAGATTTTTTTTTTAACCTGTTCTTTTCATTGCTTGTACTACCATATGAGCTCCTTTTTGCACTTTTTTTCTGTAGCTGTGTACAACTGTTTCAACTGTATTTGTTGTACTGATGTGCTCAGTGTAATGTAATCAGTGCTGTGAATTTCCAGAAAATATTCTTCTGCTTCTGAGAATTGTGTGGGCCACAGTAGTGATTACTTTTTGTTAGAAAATTGCTGCTTGCCTGTCTCCCTAGCTTTGTGATATGTTTTCAGTGAAAGATCCAAGGATGCTCAGTAACTCTGTGTACCCCTTGGCTGTCGGGAACGTTTCCTCTTCACCCATACCAAGTAAGGGAACTTGTGATCTCTCTCTATAGGCAGTCTCCAATTTCAGTTCAGCAGCATGTTCATTTTTATTAACAGAGGGCCCGAAATAGCTACCTTAAGTTGTGTGCAGTTAGTTTTTTTTTTTCCTGTTTGGAAAGTAATTTTTTAAATACTATGTCTTCCCTGAATCTGAAACACTGTGTAACATCACCGACGTATCACTAGTGTTGTGTTTCTTCCTGTTACCTTTTAGAAGCCGGATTACTCAGTTTGACATCGTCATCTGACCTCTCAGTATTTTCAGCTATCACAGATGCTTATCAGATGGCTGGGAGCGGATGCAGTTGCTGGCTAGTCAGGTCTGACTTAATCAGACAGGTTTATGCTGCTTGGAATTTCTAGACACACACTTGAAAATGATGCTTGAACAGACCCCTCTAAACTTACATGTCTGACTCTTGGTCCTATAGTAATTCCTCAGATCTTTCAGGTGTCCCAGCCCTTTTTGAACTAAAAAGTACAACTGCTGTCCATAAGAGTCCCTCTGTGAGTAAATATTCTTGCTTATTTTGCACCTGAAGTTATTGATGAGGTAGAAGCTGAAAGACACATAGAGGATTTTAGTAGTAAAAGAAGAAATATACAACATATCTGAAAATAACAATGATAAAAATTTCCCCTTTTCATCACCACTGTATGTGAGCTGGTGTGAGGGCTGCATGGGACCATTCGCCACAGTTCTTCTGCAGTGCAGCACTGCATGCTGAAATACAGATCTTTTTCACTCATGTCTGCCATTGGGACCTGAAAATTTTTCTTGGTGATCATTCCTGTTCCAGAAATGTAAGATCACTTTAATTTCTGTGTGTTTTTCAGTTTTGCTCAGTGCCTCAGAAGGCTTTTATATTCTCTCTCAGTACAGTACCTATTCTTTAACTCCTGTGCAGAATTTGGAGTAGGATTCTTGACTGCTGTTTTCCATTTAGTCTGGTAACAGAGTTCTGCTACTTCTCCTGCTTAAGTCTGAAATACAGTGGTGAAGCTATAGTGGTAAAACATTTAGCAAACTTTTTGTATGTTATAAATGTCTAGTTCAACTTTATTATAGTCTTCCATGACCAAATACCTGCACTTTTTGCAGTTGTTTCTTTTCCAGTTGCAGGCTTGACAATATTAATTTCCTTGCTGTCATGCTATTGAAAGAAAAATTCAATTTTGCACACTTAAAAATTAATTTAATGAAAGGATGGAAACTTTAGTGTAAATAATAAGCAATATGTTTTGCAAATTTTTGTCTGACCTGTTGAAAATGTAGGTTTCTTGTACAAGTGTAATGCCCTCACATAACTCAACTGTTGCAAAAATGCTGTTATCTGTCTTTACCATAAATTTTTAAGGAAAAGGGAAAACCAAAGCAACATGCTGTTAAATCTTGCTATTAATTTTTTTAAGATACACTGTGAAGAAAGTCTTAAAGCCTATAAAATCTGATTATATTAGGTGGGAATAGTCTTCCAAAACTATGCCATGAAATGGGTTTTCTAAATTAGCATTTGGCTTAATACATATCCTTTGTGGGCAAGGAAATATTCCTAAAATAGTTATTCAGTAAAATACCACAGAGTGTACCTGAGACTGACTTGTCAAATTTGGAGTTTTATGGGTTCTTTTCCTTTTGTCTTCAAGTGGACTCCAGTGTGCGGCAGTGGCACCTTTAAGTAGGTGAATATCGAATTTGCTTTTGACATTCATAGAATTTGGGAAATATTCTGCTTATTTCAGCTCCTAAAATACTTGCAAATAGAAAGGCCGCAGCTGAAATTAAAAATTAGGAAAGGATTAGGAAAGGAAATAAATGGTTTGTTTTTACATAAAGGAAATTCGGCTTGTTTTTAGGTACCTGGTAATAAATAGCAAGTTACTAACAGTTGGTGTGTACTTTGCCTACACATACCAGATTCTTGCTAGATTTGCAGATCAGCACTTCAGCATCATTCTACAAAAAGTGGGGAAACTTGATAGCCTCATTATTCATCCTCCTTTCCACAAGACTGTAAAGACTTGCTGAAGTGCTTGGCTTGGCTTGGCTCAAGAGTTGAGGTGACCACAGGCTCTGTGTGCTTCTGTTCTGTATCAGAGGACAAACACTTCATGTCTTGGAGTCCAGCTACAAACAACTGGTTTCATATCCATAGCTACTCTGAATCACTCTCTTCTGCCTCAATGCTCACTTGGTGCAGGGAACCATCCAATTTACCCTTGGGGAAGGAATAGAAATTCATTTTCTGTATGCATATTTTAATTACTGGGGTGGTAATTAATCACATTTCTTTACTGATTTAATCATAGCTGGGGTTATAAACTTTGTTTCAGGATGTCTTTTATACATCCTTTCATACTGATTTACAAGTCTTCAGTCTGTAGGATATAGATATCTCCTTACTGCCCAGTTGGTTTGGGTGTGTTGTGACACAATCTTAATGTCAGTCTTTATCTGCAGCTGTGATACAGAATACAGTACCTCTGTTTTCGTGCTAATGGAGGTACTATTCAAACAAAAATTTCCTTACTGTAGTAGAAGTTAAAATTTCCCCTTTGTCTTTTTGAAATTGTGAATTGAATTCTAAAGTCTTGCATGAAGAGTTCTTAAAAATATGTAGTTTTGCTGTTCTGTGACATGTTTCCTCAAGTTGGGTGTTGGTAACCTAATGTAAGGTGAAATCTCATTGTGGTTCATTGTTTTCCTTGTGACTTTCGTGTTACAGTTCTGGATGAAAACTATGTTTTATTCCTGTTTTGAGCTGCCTCCTGTCCTTGTTTTTCTATCTTAGTTGCTACCAGTACAAGACAGCTAAATAGCTACTGTGCTGATATTTTAGAGGGATGATACGTACCCCTGGAAAATTCCCCACGAGTGTGACTAGGTGACCAGAAGATGAAATGTGCGCAACGATGATCAGCTGTGGAAAAGCTTTAATGAACTGTCTGGTATCAATGAGACACTGAGGAAAACCTGTGTTACCTCAAAAGCAGCTACTAAAAGCAGAACAGAAAAGCCACAGAGGGTGGCTGGTGTTGGCTTAAAAGTAATCAAAAAAGGCCTGAGTTCATCAGTTCAAGTAACCTTGAACAAACTTAAGTCTTGTCTAGACAAAGTACCTAACCAGTTGGTTCTGAGGCTGGATTTCTGTTTACAGTAATCAAATCAATAGTGTCTAGACAAAGGAGTGCTGAAGGTCAAATTGGAAATGAGGTTGACAGCTGCTGGCAAACTTGCCATTGGAGGATGGCATTGCAGGATATAGCTGTTACCTGAACCAAAACCAGCTGACACTTTGTAAAGCAGGTGTGCTGGGTGCCAACCCAAATGTGATCTTCCCCGTCATTGCCCCCATGCGTTCATTTACTCAGCTAAAAACCAGTTAAACAAATTATTCATAGAGAGACATAGAAAGGAAATATTTATTTACCTCTCCTTGATGCAGTGCAAGCTGGAGAGTTGTTGTAGCCAGAGGTGTTTTCCCTTGGGATTGGCTTAATTTTACCAATTCTAATTGTTGGTGAAAGTTGTTTTCAATAGCTTTCCCTAATTTTCAAAGTAGTTTACTATGTATCTCCATATGTGGAAGACTAGGCACTTTTTTATCATAAATATTTAACCTAGAAACATTATTTAACAACATCGAGATCAACAGAGGAAAAATGACTTGGGTTTGTGACAGCTGTTGTTGGTATCATCTAAAGAGTTGTGACACATCACAAATAAGATACTTTGTGTGAAAGCTTAGAAACCGTCCTTATCAAATGTATATAGAAAGTTTCAGGTGGAATTAAAATCTAATAGCTCTTGTGAAAGAGTAAGATTTGATTAAAATTTTAATTCCAAAATATTTATCCAGATATATTAAGATTCCAGTTACTGTGAGAGAAGCAGCATATGACTTTATTGCTGTTCTATAGCCTAAAGGTTATTGGTTTTTGGTTTTTTTCTTTTATAGTGCTGATGCCTACCTGAAAAGCTTTATAGCCTTCTAGAATCATGCATGAAGAACGACTCTCTTGTTATGAAAGCTACAAAAAATTACAGATGTGAGAGGATGCCAGTTTAGTGAAACAGAAACATAAGCTTTGTTGCTCTTTAAAAAACCCAAAATATATATTTTAATGGAAAAATGCTAGTGTTCCGATAGAACATATTATTTAAAAAGAAAAAGGGAAGCAATAGCAAAAAAACCCCAACAAAGCCCCCAAAACCCGCTAGCTAAAAAGTTATATTATGGAGTTCTTCCACTAGAGGGTGGCAGTGTCTTTCCTTTGGTGTAAGGCTGTGCCTGTGGAGTGTTTTCTGTGTGGCCGTCTCTGTGTGTACCCGATGATGATGATAATAATAGAGTGTATAAATGACGAATGGTGAGTTTAATATGGTATCTGGGATACATGTAATAGTATTACAATTCTTAAATTGGCTTTTCTGTTTCAGGTTACTTATGTTTGGATCCTATGAAAGAGAAACAAATGTTCATTGCACAATGGAGCTCAGCAGTAACGTTTGGGAAGAAAAATCAAGAAGTTCTATTAAAACGGTAAAAAAATGCTAGAATTTTGCATATTGCAGTATGTCTCATGCTCTTAACTACATTATCTAGAAGGGTGTATCTTTGGAGAATCCCACCCCCCAAACATAACAGACCAGTTATTTACTTTTTAATCCAAAGTATTTCACTGTCAAACTGACATGTATGGATAACATCATGTTCAGTTATCACCACTGTGCTTGAAAATGTGCCTGGTCTGAATACATTGTCAACTGTCCATCTGCATTAAAACAAATAGTGTTGTATATACGTTTTTATAGGCCTGTGATATTTGCCTGGGGCAATTTTTAGAAAGCAGTAAGATTCACTTGTCTTTCACTGACTAGTGGTGTATTCCCTTCTGATGTGCGTGTTGAAGACACATGTGATCAGAGGGTAGCTCATGTGACTGACTTCCTCCTTTTTTCCCTGCACTTTCTGAAAATGTAGGCAATTGCCATAGTTCTCTCAATTTTTTTAAAGCATATGAATCCTACCCTGTCTGCTAAAGAAAAACACTTTTGCAAGTGTCTGCATAGTGGTAGTATTGGTGGTCTTGTAGGTTAATCTTTTACTTATTATCATACTTGATAACATGAGTTTAGCAGCATGCAGCCTACAAATTGCCTTTTTGTTGTTTGCATAGGAGGATGACAACTACCAACTACCTTTTTTTTTCCAAATGAGGTGCAATGTATGAAAGAACCTTTCAATTTCATATTAGAGTGATATTGTGGTCAGTCATCAAATTGAATTGGGCTTATGCTGAGCAATAAGTAATGTGCCTATTGGAAAAAACCAACCCTAAAGCTTTAAAAAGACTTTATTTTAACAGTTGGTTTCATGCAAAAAAATCACTGGAACAAAAATAAATGTCCAGCACTTTACCCTCTGCTGTCTGAGTGCAACTAGCTTAAGCGCTGTGCCTTTGTTATATCTGACTGGAGATGTGTTTGGAGACCAGCATTGTTTTTCCACTGAAGCAGCAAGAATCCAGAATTTCAGCATCTCACTCAGTGTTTTGCAGTTAAATTCTACTTTGCATTGTTTTTAAAACTCCTTGTGACAAATGCTGTGATGCTTGTTTTGAGCTCACTGTATATTATGTTTTGCCAAAAAGGACATATGGCTGAGCAACAGACAGAAAGCTCCTTTTTGTTGTCTTGGATGCTGTACTCTTAGTCAAATGAAAAACTTGAAGGGAGGGTAGAGGTTCACCTGTGCTGTCCGAGGAATCCGTGATGCTGGGTGGCAGTTCTCTTTCTGAGTGCGGCGGGGAGCGTGTAGCGGGAGTGCAGACCAAGAAACTTGGGAGAAGAACTTTCCCAGAGCATGGTTCAGGAGCCAGACATCACAGACACCGATGGCAGCTCAGGACTATGTTCTCCAGAGTTCTCTGTCTTGGCCCCCTCTCTGCCTGTTCCTAGTGCAGTCAGTAGTGTTTGTGTGGTTGTGCGTTAGCCATGCCAACTCCATGAGCTGGCTTGCTGCGTGGTAGCTCCAGTGCTGGTGGAAAGGACAAAGAAGGGTGGATGGCAGCAGCTTCAGGTAGTTTTAAGTTGCTGAAGCATGGCACCCTCAGAGGTGATGGCATAAAGCGTTCCAATGGTCCTGAGAGAAATTGCTGAGTTTGCCTAACTCTAGAGGTTGTTAGACTTCACTGAAGCATTAGACAGGAGGTAGATTCGAGTAAATTATTTTCAGACATTTTTGTTTAATCTGTTTAACCAGCAGTTTTAAATTTTGTTTAACTTTCTAGTTTGCTTTAATCTAAAGGTTTAAGCCTCTTTGTGTGATCACATAAGGATAAGGTAGGAGCAATTCAGCTTTAGTAGTCTGGCCAGTTCATAGTCTTAACCCTTTCCTAATAATAATAAATTTTCAAAATTTTCAATAAACAAGCAATACTGCAAGGGTTAAACAAAAACAAAACCCTCAAAAACTCAACCAAAAAACCCAAACAGTTTCGGGATCTGTACCTGATCCTGCTAATACTTATGTGAATGACCCTTTGGTTGGGATAAGCTTTATATGAAACCATGCACAGATCTGCAGGGTTGATGCTTTAGCAATGAAGGTGGCAGTGCACTGATCCACCGTTATGTTTCTCTGGACAAATTAATTTGTGCTTACTCTTGGATAATTTTGAGTAGCGATATTGGAATATATTCTTTTACACTCGTAACAACAGAAGAGGAAAGAAGAAGCTGCATACAGCATGGCACTGGTGTGTTTGTGACGGCAGATGGCAGTAGGACTAAACTGATGGAGGGTGGAGTAGCTCCTTTTTAAAACTACAGAAGAGTGCTCAGGGTGAGACTCTCAGGAGCTCGCCTTCTGTTTCAGCATCTTAAAATGAAATGGCAGGTTTTTAAAATTTCTTAAGCTTTTGGAAATCTGGCCTGCAATGTACAGAAGGGTTTTCCATGCACCTCTGTTGCAGACCTCCATTAAGCATCATTTAAACGCTGCCTGCCAGAGAGCAGAAACTCCTTGTTCCGAGTTGCTGTGTCTGTAGCTTTCCTGTCAGTATGAAGAATTCACTGTGCTCAACCACCTTGAGCTTTAGGCCACTAGATAGGCAGCCTAATTTTAAGAACCTGCTTTTGGAAATCTTGTTACGGTAGAATATGGAAACTGAAAATGAGCCACTTGCAGAACTACTTTTTGCTTCTCAACTTATGTTCAACGGATGTATTGAAATCAGCTTAGGAAATCAGGTTAAATATGTGAGTAAAGTTACAAAATATTAGGAGATCTTGCTGGGTGGCAGAAGTACTGCCCAAGACCCTCAACAAAATACGAAATGTTGCTAACACACTTAACATTGGAGTTTATTTTTCTGAGGGAATTATAACTGTTTGAATAGTTAAATAGGAAGCTATAAAGAAAAGGTGTTGTGATATTTTCCAAACAAAAAGTTTACTTGTATCATTAATCATGGTTTTTAGCTCTAATGCGATAATAACCACAAGGCAGCTGATTGTAATACTTAATAAGTTTCTAGTATGAAATCCTTTTAATGACTACGTATGCAATAATTATTTGAGATGAAGTTAGAATGAATAACAACTTGGGAGACTATGGAGGAGAAATGATAGACTAAGTTGAAGTAAAAAGTAGACAAATATGTTCTGGTTTGAGAGAGTCTAATTTATAAGAGCCTCATATAGGCATGAGAATACATCCTCTGGCTCAGACTATGTTCTACAATGCTCCCAAGGAAAATTCTCATAATTCTTTATGCTTCTTGGCATTTTCATTCTTTTTATTATGTTAGTAGCAGTGGTAAAAGATTAGACAGGTTTAATACTTCATAATGAATTTTGGTCAGACTTTAATCTGATCCCATTATTTATGGAATATTAGTAGGTGTCAGAATTGGTTTTGGAAAAAAAGCTGCTGTGTTACTGAACATATCTGGAGCATTATTGAAGTGTCTGTTAAAACACAAAAGTGTCTCAGGCTTCCAGGCAGTTTATCAAATCAGTCTGAAACACCAATAAGACTTCAGTGAGGTGATTTGGCACATTCCCATGTGACACATGTAAACATTCTTAAATATCTTAATTCCAGCAGCATGCACTACTAATTAATGTTAATCACTGCATTGCTTTGTAAAACTTAATTATCTACGGATAGGATGTAGTAATTAGCACTAGCAGCGTGGGATTACTAGACAGGTGTTCTGTGGCTAAAGAATTAGATATGTCTAAATAACTAGATGTATGTTTGTAGATATTAAATGGCGGCTATGTCATAAATGTGAATGGTTATGTCTGTTGAACTGTCGGTTAACAATACCAGATTGATTTCTACAAACAAAAAGAATTGTTGTATTTTTTTCTTGGAGCACATTTCTTTAGGAGTGGCCTTGTTACACTTGGTGAGAATCCTGCTGCTGGCTTTGTCTTTGCCAGCACTTCATGTATAGTGTTGGGAAAGAGTAACATAATTTGTCAGCAGCAACTGAAGTTGCTCTATGAATAAAAGGCGGATAGTCTGCCTTCCTTAAAAGTGACAGAAGAATGGACAGAGAAATGACCTTGAAGTGTTAGTAACAGAGACCAGAGTTAGCTTTGCAGCTGTAAGTACCCCTTACATTGCCTATGCAATGTCTTGACTGCTCTGTGGATGCTCAGCTGTCCTGAGTGTGGTGAGTGCCGGCACTTTTCTCTGGCTCCAGCAGTGCAGAGAAGAACATATCAAGGGTGTAGTTATGTAGGAATGAGAATTCTTGGTTCATATGAACTGTCCTATGTATCTTGGTAGTGCTGTTGCCTTTATCTTTTTGACAGATAAATTTGTTTTCTACAAATTGTAGAAACTATTGCAAATAGATCATCCTCCTGATACTCTTATACCCAGGAAGCATGTAAAAACTGTAAATAGTTTGTGGTTTTTATTAGATGAATTAATGTAAAGTAATGGGGGAGAGGTGCTCAACTGCAAAACAAAATGTATCTGTTCCAAGCTTTCTTCTGTCTTTTTTTTTTTTTTTAAATTGACGTTTAGGAGTGCAAGAGAATCGTTATTCATCTTGAAATAATCAAGTTAGATAATCTAAGAAAAAAAACTTTAAAATTCTGGTTTTGACTAATATGTCACCTGTAGGCGTACCCACAGCTTTGTATTCCTAAAGGTACTAAGTGTGGGTTTTCTTGTTGGAGGGTGGTTTTTTGTTTTTGTTTTGGTTTTTGAAAACCCCTTCTGTAAATACTAACTCTAGTAATACAGAAACTGCATTTCATATTCTGCAAAGTAAAAATTTCCATCTAAAATGCCACATCTGATGCTTCATAGGACTTTAATTTTGCAGCAGTTGTCTCACAAATATCCTCTGAAGTAACCTAACAAAAGAAAAAATTAAAGAATTAAGATAAGCATCCCACTGCTTTTTTAGGAATTCTGCTTGATGTTTTCTCCAGTTCATTCTAAACATTGTGGTCAGCGCTGGAGTAACTGAAGGGGAGGACCGGTGACACAGTCTTTCAATATTGCACTCTGAA